ACCTAAAAAGACACATGTAATTCGCAGGAGACTTTTACTCATAATTTGTAGAGCCTTTCACAGCTCACCTTTCTGGATTTGCAAGTATGGGTTTTTTTTTGGGACAGACAGCAGAACGTTTTAAAACAAAATTTATGTAAATTAGAAAGAAGTTAAACTGGATGCTGGAAATCTGAAATGGGGAAACAAGCCACAACAAATGATTCAGCATCTTAGGAAAAAAGGTTGCCCTATCTTCTCTCTTCAATTCCTTGCTGAGTCTTGGATAGGCACATGGAGGATAGTAAAATGTAGGGTACGCAGGGTAGATTGATCTTAGTAGGATAATAGGTCGGCACAACATCGTGGGTCGAAGGGCCTGTACTGTACTGTGCTGTACTGTTCTATGTTCTATGTCTTGAGTGTAAATTGGACTGACTTCAGCAGTCAAGTGTTTGAAAAAGTAGTTCTGTGTCTTACATGCTCTGGTCATTGCCCTGTGACCAGCATGAACTCTTGCACTTTCTAATTCTCTCACCCTTGCCAATAGTTAAGTCTGCATCGACATGACATCCGTGATAGCAGGTGGTAGACCATGATAGCATCCAGCCCCATTAGAAATAAAATAATCTGATCAGAGTTTATGGAAAGAGACTGAATGCTCTGGCACAAAATTAGAAGTTTCATTGCTTTCATTAACTGGATCCAAAAGTCAATTGGCAGATTGAAACAGACAGTGTCATAATTCATTGTTCCAAATTGAATGTGGCAATCCTTGGTATCACATTAAAATCTACCAGGACGCGATTGTCTAATGTCTCTTCCCTTGTTAATAACTTAGCGTGTTCTGTAATTTGAAGGAGTCGCTTCAACTCATCGGTAATCTCTAAGATGAAAGAGAAGTTACACATTGGAGGTAGTCGTGTGAGCTTCTGCTATGCCCTTCTTACAGATCCATTGGATTTTTTATAAATTAGAATTTCCAACTCTAAATGATACTACCTTTGCTTCCAGTAGTTTTGCTGCATTATTGTATATTTAATTACTGTCAGAGCTCCTGGGCAATAGACCAGAACAAAGTGGCAGAAACAGTCCTTGAGGTTTGATAGATGGCTGAGTTTCCTTTATATAGATTTGCAGGCAAGTAAATTGAATTGTACGTGGTTTAACTTCAGATGCCTTTTCTCTCACAAAGCGTGAACTTTAAACAGCCCTTGCCCAAATGCAGGGCACTGAGTCAGAGCTATTCAATGGTTTCACATAAACCACCAGTTCCAACAAACAGTGTCTCACATTTTAACTAACTGCCTGCCTTGCCATAAATATTCTTTTGATCTGAGTTTCAGTGTTAACTTTAGAAATGTCTGCATTTGGCTGAAACCTCAAGCTACCGTACTGGCCTCTCTAGATCAGTAATATACCAGGAATAAAAACCGAAATCTGCTGCTTTATTCCCTGTGGTTTTCATGTAAGAGTATTAATAATATAGATGGATTAAATAATACAAATAAGAACCAACCACTGTTATTAAAGAGATCACAATGTTGACACATGCATTGTGCATTGCTGTGGGGCCCGTTAGTCAAACAGTCCAGTAAGAGTCCTGTGTTTGTAAAATCTAAAATTCTGAAGACTACATTTTCTTCCAGAATTTTCTATAATTGTCAACTGTGTTATCCTTTTTCAGTTTGATCACCACGTTCAAGGGCATAATTATCACCACACCAACAAAATCAAAAATACTCCTAATACTCAAATCTCCACGATAATCCTCAACATCGGTGCCCCTCAAGGCTGCGTACTCGGCTCCTTACTATACTGCTTCTACGCACAAGGCGATGTGGCCAAATTCTGCTCTGACTCCATTTGCTTATGACACCACTGTAGTGAGTCAGATCTGAAACAACAACAAGACAGAGTCCAAGAAAGAGATACAGGCTTAGTGACAGGTGTAAAGACAACAGGCTCTCTTTTCAATGTCAGTAAAATGAAGGAGCTTGTCATCAACGTCAGGAAGTGAAGTGGAGGACACACTCCGGTCTGTATCAATGGTGCTGAGGCAGAGATGATTGAGAACTTCAAGTTCCTAGGAGTAAATATGACTAACATTCTGTCCCGGTCCATCCACGTTGACGCTATGGTCAAGAAAGCACAACAACGCCTCTACCTTCTCAGAAGGCTAAAGAAATTTGGCATGTCCACAATGACTCATCAATTTTTATTGATGCAGTAGAGAAAGCAACCTATACGGATGCAGTGCAGCGTGGTATGGCAACTGCTCTGCCCAAGACTGCAAGAAATTACAGAGAGATGTGAACACAGCCCAGTCCATCACACAAATCGGCCTTCCATCCATTGGCTCCGTCTATAGTTACTGCTGCCTCAGGAAAGTAGCCAACATAATCAAAGACCCCTCCCACCCCGCTCATACTCTTTTCCACCCTTTTCCATTGGGCAGAAAATACAAAGTTTGAAAACATGTACCAACAGATTCAAGAACAGCTTCTTCCCTGCTGTTATCAGGCTTATCAGAGATTAAAGTTGATCTTTCTTTGTACCTTCCCTGTAGTTATAACACTATATTCTGCATTCTATTCTAGTACCCTGATGTACTTATGTAAAGTATGATCTGCCTGGAAAGCACATAAAACAAGACTTTTCACTGTATCTCAGTACACGTGACAGTAATAAATCAAACCTTAGATTACCAGCAATCTGATCATCAGTCAATTAGGAACCAGGTCCTGCCTCTTGTCCCTTTATTAGTTTATTTGGAAATTTACTTGATAATAAAATTAGATCACCATTTTTACAAGAAAGTGCTCTACTCAGACAGTATAGTTCTGGTCCCATGACATATGAAAGATGTTCGAGTATTGAAGAAAAAGGAAGAACAATTAGACTAACTCCAGTTTTGATGTTTGTATTTATCAGGAAAACCAGGGACACTTGAACCTTTCCATCTTGAAAGACATATCAAATAGTTGGTTTTGTTGTATTCAGTATTCCAAATGCAGAATTGTACACACTGTTCCAAAAGTGTCTTCGCCAATCTCCTTTACAACCACAACATGATGTCCCAACTCCTTTATTCAATGTTCTGACCAATAAAGGCAAGCATGCAAAATGCCTTCTTCACCACCCTGTCTATCTGCGGCTCCACCTTCAAGGAAATGTGTACCTCCAGTTCTAGGTGTCTTTGTTCAGCAACTCTCCCCAGTGCCCTACCATTAACTGTATAAGTCCTGCCCTGGTTTGCCTTACCAAAATGCAGCCTCACATTTATCTAAATTAAACTTCATCTGCCACTCCTTAGCCCATTGGCCAATCTAATCAAGATCCCATTGTACTCTGAGGGAATCTTCTTCACTGTCCACTACATCGTCTATTTTGGTATCATCTACAAACTTACTAACCTTACCCCCTATATTCACATCCATATCATTTATGTAAATGATGAAATGACAATAATAGACAATATAGGAAACAGAATAATGGATAATAGCTATTTTTCAGACTGGAGTTCCCCAGGGTTCAGTATTGGGTCCCCTGCATTTCCTGATATATGTGATCTAGATCTTGGTATGCAGGGGACTATTTCACAGTTTGAGGCTGACACAATACTTGGAAGAATTGTAAACTATTGAGGAGGAAAGTGCAGAACTCCAGAAGGATGTTGACATGTTGGTGGAGTGGGCAGATAGGTGGCAGATGAAGGTCAATTCAGAGAAATGTTACGTGACACACTTCGATACAAAAAATGGACACAGTATAAAATGAAGTGTACTATTCTAAAGAGTGTGCTAGAGCATAGAGAGAGCTATCAATAAAGCATAGTGTTCTAGTCTTCAGGAATAGGAGCATTGAGTACAAGAGCTGGGAGGTTAGGATTTAATACTGGTTAGATCTCTGCTGGAGTATTGTCTGCAGTTCTGGGCACCACACTGTAGGAAGGATTAGAGAGAATGCACAATTGTTTACAAGAACAGTTCCAGGGATGAGAAACTTCAATTATGAGAAAAGATTGGAGAAATTGGGAAGTGAAGGTTAGAAGGAGATTTGATAGAAGACTTCAAAATAATGAGGGACCTGGACCAAATAAACAGGGAGAAACTGTTTCCACTCAGAAACAGATCGAGAACCAGAAGGCGTAGTACCAACGTGTTTTGCAAAAAAGGCAAATGTGAGGTGAGGAAAAATGTTTTCACACAGCAAGTAGTTAGGGTCTGGAAGACACTGCCTGCTAGTGTGGTGGAGGCAGGTTCATTTGAGGCATTTAAGTGGATGATTATTTAAATAGAAACAACATGTAGGGTTGCAGAGAAATAACAGGAAATTGGCACTGAGTCAGAAGGCTCAGCAAGTTGGTGAGGACGTTAGGTAGAATGGCTTTCTCCAAAACAGTAACAACTCTGTGATTCATTTTGCAAAGTGCTTCCATTGGGCTGAATGGAGATGGCCTTATAGCTCTGTATGGGGCAGCTAGGCTATGGTGAGAAGGACTGACACACCTGCTGAGGTGATAAAATCCTCAATAAGCACACATTAAAATGAAGAGGAATTAAAGGATTAGCCAGAAAGTTAAAGGGAGCATACTGTTAATTGACTGAGACGGATGTAAACCACTGCCCAGGTGGAATGAAAGTGAGGCAGTTTAATGATAGAATTCTTCAAATCAAGAGTATAATTACAACCAAGCTCACAACGGCCAGCTATTATTTTGTTTTCGAGCTTTCACTGTTCTTCTGAAAAGCAAACTATTCAAATCTATATTACAGCTGCCCAGTCACAGTGGGAAACTGTCAGAGAGTAGTGTTCTTGCTCACAAATCTTTGGCTTCTCAAGATGATTCATACTAGTCTGTGTATTTCTCAATAACTGAGGATAGAGTCAAAGCTCCCAGCACATTGATGCGTTGCCAGGTTTCAAGATGGATTAGCTTTGCATTTATGTCATCGATTTTGTGATGAGAAGCAGGGCTGGGTTTGAGTTGTGTCATCTAACATTTCTTGTTTTGGCAGGACCTGACAGGTGGAGGATTTGAAGGAAACTTGAATTCGCTGAAATTGACGGAAGGATTGGACTACTATCATTTCAGTTAAGGACCCGTGCTACTACTATTATATGGTTGACTACACCGGTGCCTGCAGGAAGATAGAAAATCATTTTGTCTCATTATGGATTTTATTACAGTTAATTCAACATGCAGTTGAGTTTGTCTGAGAAGACTTTTTAGTGGTGCCTTGTGCTTTCGATAATGTTTCAGGGGCAGGGTTCATGTCTGCAGTTGAACTCATAGATCGCACAGAACTAAGTGTCTAAGTGCATTAAAAATTACCAGATAATTCTATTCACAAGAATAGAAGTGCTCTTCCAGCAGAACCTCTTAAACCCACGACCACTACCCTCTAGAAGGACAAGGGCAGCAGATACATGGGAACACCACAAAGTTACCATACAAGACACTCACTGTCCTGCCTTGGAAATATATCGCAGCTGATTCAGTGCTGCTTTGCCAAAAACATAAAATTCACTTCCTAATGCATTGTGGGTGTATCTACGTCACAAAGACTTCAGCAGTTCAAGAAGGCAGCTCATCACCACCTTCTCCAGGACAATTGGAGATGACCAATAAACGCTTGTCTAGCCATCAATACACACATCCCATGAATGAATACAGAAAACAAACTTGCACTTTAGAACATTCTTCACAACCCATGCGTGTCTCACTTTAAAGCCATTTTTTTAGCTGTATTCTAGCCAGCTTCTTCTGAGAAATTTATTTTATCGATACACTTTCTAGCACCATTGTTTACAGCATTGATCAGACTCAGGGGATTTCTTTCATGGCTACCTTCCTGCAATATTGTATTTTGAATGGTCTTCAATGTAAATTTACTAATAAAATTTGACAGTGGAAAGAAACTATGATCAGGGCAAAAGCTATCAACACTATAATATGGTGTAGTATTCCAAAATGAAAGGGTTGCAAGCAGGTAGAAATGCTAAATCACACACAGAGATCCCGCAGTTTGTAACAGGTTCTTGTTCTGTTAGAAATCCACCCAGTTTATGCTGGCCTTTAAATGCAAGCAAGAACTGACTGTGGGGGGTTGAATCTAAAGATCCACTTCCAGTCTTCCCATTTCAAAGGAGTTCTTTGGCTCTGTTTTGAAAAGCCCTAAACCATGAGCAGGAAATGTAATCAATTCCAAAAGGATTCCGCAGTCTTGGCAACACAAGGTTGAGAAACATCATTTTTCTCCCAAGCCACTCCAGGTCTACACTCTTCCTGCCATGAGAGAGTGGAATGGGACCACTCTGGTGGTTTGTGTAATGTGTCTTTGAAACAATCCTGTTGGTGGTATGTAACCACTACTCCAGTTTCAATGGGAACAGCTCTTTCATTCATGAGTGTGCCTGCTCTGCAGACTCTGATGACTACACCATAGTACTGATGAAATGCTGTAAGAATGCAGTGTTCACATTCAGGCATCACTCACTTAGATCACACACATTCAGAACTACCACATGGCTTTTCTTGCCAAATTTGGAGAATGAATAGCCCTTGCAAACCCTGGATAATTGCAGCCGAGGCCTTGTCTATCATCTTGAACGCTTTCTGGGCAGTTATACATGTGACATATCACTCAAGGAGGCCAGAATCAAACTGGTTGAGCAGCCTTTGGTGTAGGTGACAATAAGGTGTGTTTGAATTATTGCACAAAAGAGAGAATAAGAAAGCAGACTCCGGTCTTGCACACTCACACACATGTATTTTTGCAACTATATTAGCGACTTAGTTTTGTTTAAGTATATGTGACAATTTTTGTTGCTGTCTGTTATTCTGTTGACCTCATGGCTAGAGTGGTAATAGGTATTCACAAGCCTTCCACGAAGTACCTGGTGTCTCTTTCCATTCTGAAAGATGTCTCTTCTGCCTTTCATTCCTGGATGTGTCTATTTATGTGCGTTAGTCAATGTACATAATTTGCTGTAAGGTGAAAAACACAATTAAAAGACATTTTTAACATCAGTATATGATATGTGATGCAATATTTCACAAATCATTGTCTAGGCCATACATCTGTAAGTCAAACTCCTCTTCAACTGGTATCAATTTTTATCAAAAGGAAATCTGAAATAGCATTGGCCAGCATTTAGAAGGCCTAAATATACATGTGTCTTCTGTGGGATGTTTTATCAAAAACTAACATTGCACTTGAAACACTGGGAATGAGAAAGCGAGAGGCTTGGAATGTGGACCAGAATCTGATTCTGCTGGGCTTACACCCTGTTTATTCTGAGCCTTTGAATTCCAGATGGTGGGAACCACAGGAGAGTGGGAGCTATATTATTGCAATACTATATAATCTATATTCATTATGGACAAAGCTGAGAAATCCTGCAACCAATGAATTAGATCAAAGCTCTGAAGTCCTTCTGTGTCCAGTCATTAAAGCTGGTGGATGATTAAACAAAAACCAGAGGAGGAGGTTTCACAAGCATTCCCATCGTCAATGATGGTGGAGCCCAGCTCATCGGTGCAAAAGACAAAGCTGAAATATTTGCAACCATCTTCAATCATAGCACCTCCTTTGGAGGTCCCCAGCATTATAGGCAGCCAAGTTGATACATTCACATGATATCGAAAAATGGCCGAAGACATAGAATACTGCAAAACCTTGGGCCTTTACAACATTTCCAGTAATAGTACTGAAGACTTGTGCTTCAGAACTAGCCATGCCCCTCATCAAGCTGTTCCAGGACTGGAATCTACACAAGAATGTGGAAAATTGCCCAGGTGTGCTCAGTCCACAAAAGATCAGGATAAATCCAATCCACACAATTGTTGCCCTATCAATCTCCTCTCAATCATCATCAAATGGTGGAAAACGTTTCTGACTGTGCCGTCAGGTGACACTCTCAGTTAAGCGGCTCAGTGATCCTCAGCCTGGGTTCCATGAGGACAATTGTATTCCTAACCTCATAACATTTATACAAACATCAACAAAAGAGCTAAACATTTACAGCAAGACCTGGACAATATCCAGGCTTAGGCTGATTAGCAGAAAGTAACATTCACACCACACAAGTGCTAGCCAATGATGAAATCCAAGAAATAATCTGAAGCCAGCACAGAGAATGCTGGAAAAAAACTCAGTAGGTCTGGCAACGTCTGTAGCCAGAAAAACAGAGTCAATGTTTCGAGTCTGGTATAACTGTTCTTCAGAATTGCTGAAGAAAGAATCAAACTATCATCCCTTGTTATTCAATGACATTACCATCCCTGAATCCTATTAACATCTTGGCGGTTACATTTGAGCAAAAAAACTGAACCAGACCAGCCATATACATGCTATGACTACAGGAGAAGGCCAGAGGTTAGGAATCCTGCAGTAAGTAACTCATCCCAAAGCCTGTCCATCATCTGTAAGGCACAAGTCAAGAGTAAGATGGAATACTCTCCACTTGCCTGGATGAATATGACTCTATATGCACTCAGGAAGTTTGACACCATCCAGGAAAAAGCAGCCTATTTGCTTTGAACCCCTTCAAATATGTTAAACATTCCAGTCTCCACCACCATCTCTCCATGGTAGCACTTTAAGCTATCTACAAGATGCATTGCAGCAACTCACACAGGCTCCTTCAGCAGCAGCTTCAAAATCTACAAGCTCTACTACCTAGAGAAACAAGGACAACCGACACATAAGAACACCACAACCTGCAAGTTCCTCTCCAAGTCACACACCATCCTACCTTGGAACAATGTCGTCTGGTAGGTGTGTGCCGTGAATGTTTTTCTTCATTCATTCATGAAATGTGAACATCGCTGGCTGGCCAGCATTTCTTGCCCATCCCTAGTTGCTCTTGAGAAGGTGGTGGTGAGCTGCCTTCTTGAACTGCTGCAGTCCTCCTGCTGTGGGTTGACCCACAATGCCATTACAGAGGGATTTCCAGGATTTTGACAGCGACAGTGAAGGAATGGCGATATATTTCCAAGTCAGAATGGTGAGTGCCTTGGACAGGAACTTGCAGATGATGGTGTTCCCATGTATCTGCTGCCTTTGTCCTTCAAGGTGAAAGTAGTTGTGGGTTTGAGAGGATATTTGATGAATTTCTGCAGTGCATCTTGTAGATAGTTCTGTTGCTAATGAGCATCAGTGATGGAGGGAGTAAATATTTGTGGATGCAATGCCAATCAAGCAGGGGCTGCTTTGTCCTGCTAGGTGTCAAGTTTCTTGAGTGTGAGGGAGTTGCACCCATCCAGGAAAGTGGGGAGTATTCCATAACACTCCTGACTTGTGTATTAGATGGAGAACAGGCTTTAGGGAGTCAGAAGTCAGTTACTCGTACTAGTATTCCTAGCTGCTGATCTGCTGTTATATCCACTGTGTTTATGTGGCAAGTCCAGTTGAGTTTCTGTTCAATGGTAATCCCAAGGATGATAATAGTGAGGAATTCATGGATAGTAGCATCATTGAATGTCAAGAAGCAGTGGTTAGATTGTCTGTTATTGGAGATGGTCATTGCCTGACATTTGTGTAACAATTTTACCTGCCACTTGTCAGCCTAAGCCTGGATCTGTTACATTTCAATATGGACTGCTTCAGTATTTGGGGAAATGCAAATGATGCTGAACATTGTGCGATCGTTGGTGAATATCCCCACTTCCAACCTTACGATGATAGAAGGTCTTTGACGAAGCAGCTGAAGACAGTTGGGCTTAGGACATTACATTGGGGAACTCCTGCAGAGTTGTCATGGAGTTGAGATGACTGACTGGAACATGGTTGTTGACATTGACAATGTGCCAGGTATGACTTCAACCAGCACAGAGTTTGCCCCTCATACCCATTGATTCCAGTTTTGCTGCCACACTTAGTTGGATCAAGCCTTGATGTTTCTTATGATTTATTAGCCTATGTCTACACATTATCCAAGTCTTGCCGCATATGGACACAGACGGCTTCAATTTCTAAGGAGTCACAAATGATGCTGAACATAATTGCACAATCAGCAAATATCCCTACTTCCAATGTTATGATTGAGGAAACATAATTTGTGAAGTAGATCAAGATGTAAAACACAACCCCGAGGAACTCCTGCAATGATGTTCTGGGGCTGAGTTTAGCCTCCATCAATTACGAAGTCCTGGAACTCCCTTCCTAACAACACAGGCTTTACTTACATCACCTTGACAATAGCAGTTCAAGAATGTAGCTCACCACTGCCTTCTCAAGTACAATCAGGGAAGGACAAGAAGTGCTCGCCTTGCCAGTGACACACGTCTCATGAAATAATATTTTTAAGTTACCTTTAAAAACAAAATTGGCAACAATTCACATCAGTGACAGGATCAAACAAATTTCTTCACTTTTTAAGCTTGGGAACATAATTTGGAAGAAATATCACATGTTACAATCAACACATTAAATGCAGATGGTTAACTTGTCAGGGACATCAGGCTCATGTCCCAGCAAGAACATCCTTCAGGCTTTTAAATCAGGTGTATTCAAAATACGTTTATGAATCTTGCTTTGTAATCAAAGGTTAAAGTTTGCTGAGTCAATGCATTCGAAACGCGACATAAATCTCTGGTTTAAGAGTTTATTCATGTGTTCCTGTCAGCATTGTGATCTTTCTTTTCAACAAGTAACTGTTAAGCGTCCAGCAGCTTGCAACATCAGGTTTCAAAACCTGCACAAGTTGATGAGTTTTGAACTCATATACCCGCACACAATGATGAATTATCTTTTATTAGCGAATATATGATTCAGTGCTTGGTCCTTCTTTTTCTAACCACTTTCAAATTTTTACCATGGTGCAACAACAGAACATTGCTGTATTGTGAAGTCCATTCACAGACATTCAAAGGATTTAAGTATAAAGAAAATTTCAGCGATACAAGTGATATTTTCAAGGCTGAAGTTTTATGGTTCATTGTGTACCCTTAAAGAAAAGTAAGAGATACATACATGTGATTGTATAATCTACAGAAGAGGTAGATTCATAAAGATAAATTAAAATATTATGTTTGCACAATTACAATTACCCCAAACTAATACAAAATGAGTTTTTAAAGTTTTAGCAAAGATTTGTAGCTGGGATTGTGGGTGAGCTTGTTCACTTGCTCGCCGAGCTGGCTTGTTCTTGTTCAGACGTTTCGTCACCATGTTGGGTGACATCATCAGTGAGGCCTCCGTTGAAGCGATGTTATTGTACTCCGTTTGGAATTTATACTGTCCGGTCCGTTATGGTGAGTGGTGTCATTTCTGTTTCAGTTCTGTATGGGTTTGTATATGGGGTCCAATTCGATAGGTTTGTTGATTGCAGTACGGGTGGAGAACCATGCTTCTCGGAACCATAGTAGCCCAAGCCAAACATAGACATGCACGGGAATTCCTAGAGGCATGGTTTTCCACCCATACTTCAATCAACAAACACACAGAATTGGACCCCATATAAAAACCCATACAGATCAAAACCAGAAATGACACCACTCACCATAATGGACTAGACAGTATAAATTCCAAGCAGAGTAGAATAACATCGCTTCATCGGAGGCCTCACGGATGATGTCACCTAGCATGGTGACGAATTGTCTGAACGAGAACAAGCCAGCTCGGTGAGCAAGTCAACAATCTCAAAATGAGTTTTTCTTTATTTGACTGCCCTTTAACATTTTCATGACTTCTGCCATATCGGATTAGACTGTTCCATATATGTTACAAGTGCATGAACAGACAGCAGATGACTCACTGTCATTTTAAAGCCACACGACCATTCCTGATGACAGCAGCTGAAAGCAATTAAAATCTGCCCCATGTTGTGTATGGTCCTTACCATATTTTGAAGTTATTGCTTTTGGTTGGATTCGGTCTTGAATTCTGGAGGCGTAAGACTAGAGCGTTGACATACTATACTGTTCAATGTATATATCTCAGTTTGATAATAAAAATATATATACAGAAGCTGCATCACACAGCAGT